TGACTACATTTTCCCCATAAAATCAGGTTTCCCAAAATGTAATTACCAGCTAAAGATTATATTTAAAAACTTTTAATAAACATTCTAAAATAGTTTTCTAATATATTTCCATAAGTACAATAAAGAGGCTATTTTGTAGCATTCTTATAAATAATACAGCAAGAAATCAATTTTGAATGTTATTAAGTATGTCAAATATATGGGAAAAATATAGAAAATAACATTTAAAAACCATTGCAAGCCAAAACCCCCACTTTCAATGAGTGGACTTTGAGTTGTGAAGCCAGCAAATAGAGGCAGCCCTCGCTCATCTGTGCTGCAGGGCTGATCATCTACTGTGTTCAGCTCTGAAGCTGCCCTTGTCATCCTGCCCAGAGCAGCCCTGAAGCTACACATGCCATCCTGCCCAGAGTAAGCTGCAGGTTTGCTGACGTATCACATTTAAGACTTTCCAAGACAAGGAGATCCTTATGGTATTTTAAAGTTTAGTTTCAGAGAAGACACATACGATTTTTGTTTTGCCAGTAATGCTTCTCCTTTGAATGTTCTTCTTCCTCATCCTCATCCTTGTCCTCCTTGTCCTCCCCTTCCTCCTCCTCCTCCTCCTCCTCCTCCTCCTCCTCCTCCTCCAGTGCTAGAGATAAAACCCAGGGCTCTAGCTTATACTAAGCAAATTTCTTTCCACTGAGCTATGTTCCCAGTCCCAAAGTTTTCAGAACAAGTCTATAGTATTTTGTGTGACACTCCTTTAAAGTCATCCCATTCTTAAGTCTGGGCAACCACTGCTATGTCACTGTATATAATTTCTTACTTCAAGAACATCAAATAAAGTAGGATCTTCTGAGATCAATTTATTTTTTTTTCACTTGGGATAATTTCCTTGAGAGCTGTCCAAGCTGTTGGATGCACCAATATTTAGTTCCATTTAATGTACAGTACTCCACTGGATGGATGTACCAGTTGTTTATCAACTTGCCCACTGAAGGGCATTTGTATTGTTTCCAATTTTAGGAAGTTGGGTATGTAGTTTCTATAAATCTAAATGTATAGAGTTTCGTGTGAATACAAGTTTTTGTTTCTCAAGAGGAAATGATCATGAGTAAACCTGTTGAGTCATATGGTGAATACACATGTAACTGTCAAACTGTTCTGTAGAGTGTGACTATTTTCCATTTCCACCTGCAATGTATGGACTTCAGTAGCGCCACCTCCTCACTAACTCTCAGAACTACCAGTCTCTTGGTTTAAGCACATACATAATGGCTTCTTGGGATTTTAATTTGCATTTCTCCAGTGTCAAATTATGTTGAACATCTTTTCATATGCATATTTGCATCCTTGCACCTTATTTAAGGACACAGCTGTTCTTTTGCCTGGTTATAACTGAGGTTTTGTTTTATTCCTATTCAGTTTGCACGGCTCTTCATATGTGTGCAAGTCTTCTGTCAGTTACGTAATTTGAAATATTTTCTCCTAGTTTATAGCTTGTCTTTTCAACTGTTTCATAATGTCTTTCACAAAGAAAGGTTTCTCGTTTTAGTGAAGTCCATTCTATCTTTTTTTTTTTCCTGTAAGTTTTGCTTTTGGTGTAATTTCCAAGAACTCCAGTTCTTCATTCTTCTGTGGTTTCTGAGATGAGAAATTTGCCTTACAAATTGGTCCCATATAGTCATTGTGTCTCTCTGACTGCTTTTAAGAATTCTTCTTGACCATCAGTTTTCATTAATTTGCTTAAGAATGTACTTGAGGGGGCTGAAGAGATGGCTCAGAGGTTAAGAGCACTGGCTGCTCTTGCAGAAGACTCGGGTTCAATTCCCCACACCCACGTGCTAGCTAACAACCATCTGTAACTCCAGTTCTAGGGGTCCGACATCCTCTTCTGTCCTCTTAAGACATGGGTGCACTTACACAGATTCTGGCAATACACTCATACACATAAAATAAGAATAATAAAAGATTAAAAAATAAGAATATACTTAGTGTTAGATTTTTTGGGTTCATCCTATTTAGGTCTTCCTTGACCTTTTAAATATGTAGTCTTAATGTTTTCCATACTTAGAAGATATTCAGCCATTATTTCTTTAAATGTTTTTCTTCTTTTCCTGGAACTATGGTGAACTGAATTTCAGATTGAAAAAAAAAATGATCCATTGGTTTCTGAGACTGCTTATTTTTTTTTTCTCTCGTTTCTCAGATTGAATAGGGAAACTGGCCTATCTTTAGGTTCATATGCTATTTCCTCTGTCATCTCCAATGTGCCATTGTGCTTAATCAGTGACTTTATTTGCTATTTTGGTTATTGTGTTTTTTTATTTTTAAAATTTCTATTAAATTCTTTGTGTGTGGATGCATGCACACTGTGAGTGAATGCATGTCTCTGTGTGTGCATGTGTGTACATGTTCATGTGTGTGAATGAATGTGTGTGAGTGCATATTCATATGCATGCATGTTCATGTGTGAGAGTGCATTGTGTGCATGTAAAGGTCAGAGGATAACCTAGTATATCATCCTCAGAAATGTCACCTACTTCTTTTTGAGACAGGGTCTCTCACTGGCCTGGAGCTCAGCAATTGGGTTAGACTGTCTGTGCCCATGTCTACGGAGCTCGGGGGATCATTCTCTCTCCACCTCCCTGCCCCTGGGATGACAAGTGTATACTACCATCCCAGACACTTTTATCTGGTTCCTGAGTATCAAACTCTTCATGACTGCAAGGCAAGTGCCTCAGGCCTATTCAGTTCTTCTGTTATTCATATCTTTTATTTCTTCACTGGGATTTTTTTCATGATTGTTTCAAGAATATTTGCTATTGCTTATTATGGCACCTGTATACAATGCTTTAATGTCTTTCAGAAAGTTATAAATCTGTGTATTAACCTGTTAACACTGCTTTAATAAATACCATAGACTGTGTGTAAGTCAAATTCATTGCTAAGAGGCCAGCATACTAATGGCTTTCATGCCCACTGAGAGGCCCACTGTGACCCTCTCTCCTCACACTGTCCTTACGACCCACCAACATAATGTTCCTCCAAACTACGGCTTAGGGAATAAAGACATTTATTTGGGCTTGCCAGCAGAGCTTATGGTAATGAGGAGGAGTACCTACAAAGGTTTGACACCCATAGACTTTTTTCTCTACATCTCAGCTGAGCCTTCCAGATCTGCAGCCACTGGCTGCAGGACCAAGATGGAGAAGTGCCCTCCACCCTGGCTTCTTCAGTGTCTCTCCTTAGGCTCTCCCCCTCATGCAATTGAAGCTGACGGATTGAGTGACTGTCTCCCTGTCTTTTTACAGAGAGTCTTAGTATTCAAATGGTTTGAGGAGAACACAAGAGAAGCTAGAGACGGCATCTATCCATGTGCTTGCCATTCGAAGGGCACGCCTATCCAACACTGTGTATTTTAAACAGAGGTTCATTTCCCACCATTCTGGAGGCTAGGTGACCTCAGCCTGCTGACATTCTCTCCTCGCTTTCATTAGCTACTTTTCTGTTGATGTGATAAAACACCACGGCCAAGGCAACTTCTAGAAGGAGGAGTTGATTTGACTTCCAGTTCCAGAGGGGTAAAAGTTCATCGTGGTGGGGAAGCATGGCAGCAGGTGCAGCAGGGCAGAAAGTTGAGTACTCACATCTTCAGTCGCTCACAGGGAGCAGGGAGAGCAAAATGGAAGGAGGACAAGGCTATGAGCTCTCAAAGCCCTCCCCTATGAAGTGCTTCCTCCAGCAAGGCCACACCCCCTGAACCTCCTAAACAGCACCACCAGCTAGGGCCATGGATTCAAAGACGTGAGCCTATGTGGGGCATTGCTCATTCAAGCCACCACAGTGACCATCTTCTTCCTGCCTCCTCATGTACTCTTCTCTCTCTGAGTCCTTTCCTAGTGTCACTTTTTATGTGACCACATCTTTTTCTTATAAGAATGCAAGATCATACTGGTTAGGGTTTACTTTGATGGATTTATTTTATTTCAATTAACTTTGTAAAGGCCCCGTCTGCAAATCTACATTCTCTCCTAATGGGGGCTACAGCTTCAGCAGGTATTCGAATGGCACATAATTTATTACACAACACTGTAACTTTGATGTTACTACCTCTGTTAACTATCTTTTCCTAAGCAGATTTAATTTTTTCTTCATTCTGTGCATGTTGAATAAGTTTGAGTTGCATACTGGCCATTTAAGATTTTTTTTGCCTTATTAAACTGCTATTGAAAACAAATATTTTTGTGTTAGAGAGCAGTTGACTTGGTTAGGTTCAAGCTTAACATCTGCTTTTTGTGAGCTATGGTTCTGACATTCCTCCTTTCTTTAAAGCCTTTGCAGTTCTAATCAGATCCATCCCATGAATGCCTTGCTCGGGGGTCACCCTGTGACTTGTGAAGGGGTCTGTCTGTGTTTCGAGTTCTCAGATTCTTTAGCATGTTGGTTAGGATCATACCTGTGCATACGTGCCTTGAGAGTAAGTTCACAGGGTTACTTTCTTGATGTCTTCCCTCTTTGCAGTCTGCACTGCGTGGACTTGTTCTGTGTCCCTTCAACTACAAGGCTGGCACTGCGTTTCTCTCCTTCCGCCACCTGTTGTTCATCATTATGCTTATGTCCAGGGCCCACTGCTCAGAGGACACACAGAGAGAATAAATCTAAGAACAAACTCCCTGTCTTCTTGGAATGACAGCCCCTGATCAGAGAGGAAGTGCCCAAGTGCCTTCCCCTTCATTTGGCTCCCATGGCAGTCACAAGTCACCTGGGTTGGGACTGGGTTATAGGAAGACAGAAAAAAAGAGCCAGATTTCAGATGGAAGAAACCAAAGAAATCAAACCTTTGTCTCTGGTTTACATGCAGTTCAAATTCTGTTCTTCATTCCCAAACGTCCCAGAGTCCCAGTGGCTGTTGTATAATTTTGTCCAGGTTTCATAACTGAAGTGAGAACTCTTGGTGGGAGGCAGAGTACAAAGTGCTGACTGATTCATCCTGCCTGGACCTGGACCATCGGAACTAGATCAATGTGAAACAGTAAGAGAAAGCTTGGAATCTGTCTTTTCAATGTTAATGAGTCAGGCAAGCAGTGCAATAGAAAGATAAGCTCTGAAGAGGAGCTATAAGTAAAGAGCAGACATTCTGAAGCTGTCTACATATTTACAGTCTCTGGCCAATATGGGAACTTATCGTATGAACTTTTCATCTAAATGAATACTTTCAGGGCTGGAGAGATGGACCAGTGGTTAAGAGCACTGGCTGCTCTTGCAGAAGATCTGAGTTTGATTCCCAGCACCCACATGTGGTTAACAACCATCTGTAGCTCCAGTTCCACGGGAATCTGAGACCCTTTTCTGACCTCTATGGGCATTGCATGGCATGGGTGCACTTACATGCATGCAGGCAATACATTCATACATGTAAAATAAAAATAATAAAATATTAAAAGATTAAAAAATGTATTCAACTTTTATGAATTCATGCAATACATTTTGATCATATTTAGATCCCCTCCTGAATCTACACCCCCTTCACTAATCTCCCATCCAATTTCTGTACTGTAATATATACATATATATTAACACACACACACATATATATGCACATATATATGCATATATTAGGTGTATAGAGTCAAGTTTGGGTTCCCAAATACCCTTTAGTGGGGTTCACCTGGTCAACCCACTAAGAGTCTCACCATTAAACGAAACTGACTCTCCCCTTACAGGCAGCCGCTGGTTGCCAGTACTTCTTCAGGTAGATTGGGATTTCTTACCCACTTCCTCACATCTATGCTGGGATATCATCTGGCTTGAGCTTCTGTGGGGCTTGTGCGTGCTGTCACCATTGCTATAAGTTTATGTGCATAACTACCCTGCTCTCTGGAAAACTGTTTGCTTCTGTTCATCCACTTCCTCTGGCTCTTACAATCTTTCTGCCTCTTCTTCTGCAATGATTCCTGGGCTGTGAGAGGTAAAATTGTGGTACAGATGGCCTATTCAGGGTTATATTTTTATTAATTTCAACTGTGTGCATGTGTGTGTTCTGCGTGTGGATATGTGCACATGAACGCATATGTCTATAGAGGCTAAAGGCACCCAGTCAGTCCCCCTGGAATTAGAGTTACAGGTGGTTGTGAATCTCCTGACATGGGTGCTGGGAACTGAACTAAGATATTTTAGAAAACCACTACACGTTCTTAACCAGTGAGCCATTTCCTCAGCCCTTATGTCATTTTAAGAGGATGAGTGTAGGCATCACAAAAGCTCACATCATAGGTTTTGTTTTTTGTGAACTACCTTAAATCACTATTTAAGTTGTGTCTTTAACAAATGAAAAGATTCCAAGCTTTACTAACATTTAATACATTGGTGAAAACTGGCTCTATCACTTTACCTGCAAGTTAGGTGATTGTGTGTCATGCAGAGATTGTAAAACCCTGTGGGAATAAGAGTTCTAGAACCCAGAGCTTCGTATTCATCCCCATTTGTTCTACGTATATATTTGTTGTTTCATATTCTTGGTGGAAAATGTTATTGATGTTTGGCATGGTAGTGCATGCTTGTAATCTGGGAATTATGGGGCTGAGGTGGGAGGAATGCTCTAACTTCAAGACCAGCCTCTACTATGTAGTGAGTGATAGGGTAGCCAGAGTTCATATACCAAGATTTAATATCAGAAAATGGACTTTTGTGTAATGTTGATTTTTAACTAAACTGTCTTGTCTTAAAATGTATATGGCAGCATGTTTTCTGCAAAGAAAATAAAGGCCAAGTTATGATAATAATTCAACATAAAGCTATGAATAAGATGGAAAAACAAGGCTCCACCTCTTTTTTTCCAACCACATTGTGTGAGAACAATGGTTTTATAAAGTATATGTTCAACTATGGAAATTATTAAAAATTTTAAGACTCAGAATAAATTTAGAATCAGATCTTTGAATCACTTTGAACCATAAAATGTTTCTAATCATTCGTTAAAAACACTGAGATATATTTAATCGTTTTTTTTGGTAAAATTAGTATTTTTAGTTTATGCAATAAAAGAAGTTTCAGTAAAATAGTAAACTAGCCAAAGATTTTAACTTGTTTTCTTTAAATTTCATTTTCATGTGTATTTTATAATTGGCAGAGCCTTTATATATAGTTGATGTTGTCATGCTTTGGTGGTAAAGAATCCCCCCAGAGGGGCTCATTGTTACAGGCTTGGGTGCTAATTGCTGAGCTTTGGAAAGCTCTGACTGAATCAATGAACCAACCAATGGATTGATTCATAAGTGAATGTACAGCTGAGAAGTGGTGGAACTTGTAGAAGGTAGGGCCTGACTGGAGGAAGTGAGTCATGGGGGACTTTGAAGGCTGTATCTGTCTTGTCCCTGGTTCTTCCTCTAGTGCTTGGCTGCACTGGAGTCTGCCTCTTTTCCTTAGCCATAGTTTTCTGCCATATTCTTTCTGTTTTACCACAGGCCTGCAAATAAAGGAGCCAGCCAATCATAGACTGAGACCTCTGAGACCGGAGTCAAAATAAATATTACTCTTTTGCTTTCAAAGTGTCTGTCACAGGTACTTTGTTATAGTGTGAAAAGCTGACTAACAGAATAATGACTGCATTGTATCAAGCACTACTTACTTGAGATCATTGTGTCATTAAGAAGCACCCAGGTCTCTTAATTTTGAATTCCACACTGTACACAAAGGCATTTACATGCATGGACGATTCTCTTCTGATAGATGTAACAAAATGTGCTCCTGAAGAGAAAGCTCTTTGGTGACTGGCCTATTTAATTCAATACATTGCCCTCTACTTTTGTTGATTTTTTCCCATTTTTAGAACTGAATAATATTCCATTGTGTAGATAAATATGACAATATTTTTAATCCATTCCTGTCTGTGGAAACTTATGTTGCTTCCACTTTCTGGTAATTAGCGATGATACTGCTATGACTGTGGATGTAGAAATATTTTTCTTTAAGACCTTGCTTTTAATCTTTGTCTATTGATTCTGAAACAGAATTGCTGAATCATATGACAGTTCTGTTTAAAAAAATTTTTTGGCGGGGGTCTTTTTGAGACAGGGTCTCCCTGTAGCCCCAGCTGTCCTGGAACTCACTATGTAGACCAGGCTGGCCTTGAACTCACAGAGACCTGCCTGCCTCTGCCTCCCAAGTGCTGGGATTAAAGGCATGTGCCTCCATGCCCTGGCTCCGTTTTAAAATTTTGAAGCAACTCTGTACTGTCTTCCACAACAGCAGTCTTGTTTTTCATCCCTCCAAACAGTATACATGAGTTCCAAGTTTTCCACATCCTGCCAGCACTTATTGTTTACTGTTTTTGTTTTTAAGCTTTTATATTTGATAGTAGCCACTCTAGTAAATGTGAGGTGATGTGTAAATGTGAGGTGATGTTTCATTGTTGTTTTTATTAATTCCCTAATGATGATCTGTATAGAATATCTTTTATATGGTTTATTCAAGTCCTTTGTCCATTTTTGAATTGGGTTTTTGCGTTCACTTTTGAATCTTGTGTGTTCTGAAGTCTAGAA